CTTCCAGGTTAATTTTGGCAGTGGGCTTTGTTCCTCCACCTGGGGCCACCACTCCCCAGGCCAGAATCCTTACAACTTCACTCCTACCACCCAGACCAAGGAGTAGTAACAGCGCTCAGCTGTTGCCCATCCCCAGGGCCCACCATGGAGAACCACTGTTGGTTCCTTGAACCCCATCCACACTTCCATAAATACTTTCTTCAATCAAACCCTTTGGAAGGTGCCGTCTATCTCCTACAAGAGTCTTGACATGGGAACATCTCCCCAACGGTCCCACGAAAAGACTGCCGAGCTTACTTACCGAGAGCCGTGATGGACACGAGGGTGCTGGCCCGGCGTTCCCCCACGACCTGCCACTCGCCATCCACTGCCCGCACCCATTCGGTCACGTGGCATTCGTACTGGCCCTCGTCCTCCCTCCTGCTGTTGAAGATGCCCAGGCTGAACGAGTTGGGCTGCACCTGCTCCATCTGGACGCCCCCAAAGCTGCTGCGCTCCCAGTAGGACGTGCCAGGCTGCACGGTGCCGTCCCGGTCCAGCCACATGATGTTGCTGCGGCGGTTCTGCCTGTCCACCAGCTGCCAGATGACGGAGAAGCGGCCTAGTGGTCTACCCGCTGTGCGGATGCTGCAGGAGAGGTGTAGATTCTCACCCTCCAGGACGACGCTGGCATTGCTGGCCACCTCCACCGAGATGCTGCTCTCTGTGCAGAGGGAGAGAGTGCCACGCTGGGGCTTTCTGGGCTCCACTGAGCCCTCCCCACTGACATCAAAGGAGGAGGGGTACAAATGTCACTCTATTCAGGTACAAGGGGACCTTGGAGGGTGCAAGCACTCTGACACTTGCTGCTGCTGCAAGCCCTGGCTGGTTCTGGGTTTCACTCCCTGTGATTTTAGAGCTGATAACCTAGGAGGCCCTTTACTGGATACAAAGATAACGTGTGGGATCATGAGCGTCTAAGACCTGAGACTGAATCAGAACAGAAAGACATTACCCTTAGGGCACAAAGCAATTCATCAGGCCCTCCATATCCACTGCTTCCACATCCATGGATTCAACCAAGCATGGATAGAAAATATGCCAAAAAAAAAAAAAAAAAAAAATTCCAGTAGGTTCCAAAAGGCAAAACTTGAATTTGCTGTGCACTGGCAACTCTTTACATAGCATGTACATTGTGTTAGGTATAAGTAATCTAGAGATGACGTGCACAGGTTATATGCAAATCCAATGCCATTTTATATAAGGGACTTGAGCATCCGCAGATTTGGGGCGGTCCTGGAACCAATCCCCCTCGGAATCTGAAGGGTGACTGTAATGTGTTCAGCAGGGTTCAAGAATTTCTGACTTGGATTTTCAGTACGTTGAATACCTTGAAAATTCTACTTCACCGAATCTTCCCTTAATTTAGGGGCTACAGCAGTCAAATAAAAGCTGAACATCCATACATGCCATTTGAGTCCTTCAGGGCAATACCAGGAGATAGAAAAAAAAAAAGTGACAGGAAGTATTTGGAGGACAACACGTGCTTGCTTGGGTGTGGGCAGTAACGGAGCACAGATGGCCTCATTTCACAGCGTGTGTGGGGAGCAAGCTTTCATACTTTCATTAACACACAGGAACAGACCAAAGCCGGTGGCTCGCCTTCCTGCTGCTGTCCACCTTCAGCCCTGGGGTTCCACTGCTCTTGACCTTGAGTTTCTGCCAATCAAACTCTGGGATAAGGATTCCTCTCTCCTTCACTCCTCACTTAGCTGTATGAACTCCCTCAGTGGAATTATTTAAGCTCTACACGCCTTCTATGAGATAGGGAGAGTGCTACATTGTGCAGTTTTTCAAAGATTAAAAAGTAAATGAGACAATGTCTATAAATCACCTAATACGTAGGTTTTCAAAAACTGGTTACCATGATCATAATTAATTTTACTACTCCCATTAACTCTTTGTTTTTATAAAGAGTGTGGATACTTTAATCTATCTTAATTATGCATAGATTATTTTGTATAATTATCTATAGAGCTCCAAAAGCCCTTAAGTGTTAAAAAACAGAAAGTACCAGACGAATTCGGCTCCAATTTTCCGGGCACCATCCACATGAAACATATACATCAATTTTAAATCATTCAGTAAATCAAATCCCAGATTAAGAGGCACACCCAATTACTGAGGGGAAAAGCATACCCACGACCATGCATTTGAATCAATCTTTTCTCCCGTGTGTTTCCCCCACAGGCAGAAACACGCAGAGAGGAGCGTTGAGCCCAGGCATGGAGCTCTTGCTATAGTGAACAGGTCTGCCACCCATTCTGGGTTGGCTTCTTTCACATGAAAAAAGGTCCGGACAGACAGGGTGCGGAATAGGAATTTTCCCAGGAGCCATACCTAGATGAGTCATGGAGATGACAGGGCTCCTGAGTAGCTACATCTGTAGCAGTAGCGGCTGAAAGCAAGGATTTGGAGGCAGGCAGACCACGCTCAGGCCCAGGTCTACTGCTTCCTAACTGCAATCTTGGGGCTCTTACTTAATCTACCCAAGCTTCCATTTCTTTTTTTTTTTCTTGCGTTATGCGGGCCTCTCACTGTTGTGGCCTCTCCCATTTGCGGAGCACAGGCTCCGGACGCGCAGGCTCAGCGGCCATGGCTCACGGGCCCAGCCGCTCCGCGGCATGTGGGATCCTCCCGAAACGGGGCACGAACCCGGGTCTCCTGCATCGGCAGGCGGACTCTCAAGCACTGCGCCACCAGGGAAGCCCCAAGCTTCCATTTCTTATGTGCAAAACGGAGATACTAAGAGTCCTACTTCTTAGGGTGATGACACTGAGGGTATTAGATGGGGTAGTTATTTTTCATCCTCATTAATAATAACAATATTCCTCTTCAGATTAAAGACTCATTAATGACTCACCTCCAGCGTTATCAATTCGCAGTGAGGAATTAAAGAAGGGCAACTTCGGCATCAATGGGGAAAAAAAAAAATCCCTTTGCTTGCCTTAAGCAGAAGAATGACTTGCAGGACATCACTCCCACCCCCTGCTGTCACCCCAGTGGGCTCTTATCTTCTATAAGCCCCGGCTTGTTTGTTACAAGGGCTGCTGTTGGGTGCTCTGTTACTTGAGCAAGCCTGGAAAAACCACGCAGTTAGATGTGAAACTACGAGAAGCAAAACCATTCCGCAGCCCAGGCAAAGGCAAATGCAGACACGGTGCTGACTGCCCGTTAAAGACTATTTACAAGTGTTCTCAGGCCTGAGAAAAGGCAGCCAACAATTTAAAACTCTCTGGATTAAATGAAAACTAGGAGAGAACTAATGAGAATCTGAGTGCACGGTTACAAACGAAATTTCCAATCAGGAGGTTGATGACGGAGCACAGGCTAAGCGCAGAGCAGCGAGTCTGGGGTTAGAAGCAAATACTTGCCATGCGATGCAAGCTCGACCGACCACTATCAGACCGGCTCAGCCACTTCCCTGTATGGTGCTCTGGCCTCTTCATTCACAGGATGAATAGAATACTGGCCTCTCCAAGGATTGGAGGGGTGGGAGTGGAGAAGGAAATGATACACGCAGAAGCACTTTGGGCTCTTGAGGGGAAAAGCGCCATTAAAATCCGAGTTTTTATTATCACCATTACCGATGTGATCACTGTCGTTCTTTGGTAGACTTACCCAAGTGGCCTTGGGGCAGGATCTGGTGGTGCTGGGGGACTTTAACTACCCAGTTATCTGCTGGAAAAGCAATATAGCAGGCCACAGATCATCAAACAAGTTCTTGGAAGGGGATGGAGGAAATCTCTTAGTACAAAAAATAGGGAAGTACACAGTGTGGCTGCCCTTCACTGGATCCTTATAGAACAATGAGGAATTAGTTGCAGATTTAAAAGTAGAGACCATGGTTAAGGCAGGCGCAGTCCGACAGGAAAATACTAAAGAGAGTGGGCATCCAGTTTAACAAATTCCATTCAGCAAGCACCTACCCTACGCAAAGCACCATGCTAGGCATTGCAGGGGGAAACAGTCTAAGAAAGAAAAGAATTTCAAGATGAGATGCGTGTGAGAGAGAGATTTTTTTTTAAAAAAAAAAGCACAAAGGAAAGTCATCCTGTTGGTGAGAAAAGAAAAAAAAGAGTGGCAAGACCCCTGTTGTCTGTTTCCTTTCTTCACACTTGAAACTATATTAAATATGTAAAAGTGTAGATAAAAATGAAAAGGGAATCATTACAGGGCTGAGAGAAAGAACAGCTTGAGCAGTGGAGCAAAAGGTTAAAGGTTAGCTTAAAAACTTCACCATCTTGCTTAAAATCAGGGCATTCTAAGTATTCTCATTTTACTAAAAACAAAACTATGAGAGAAATGAGATATTAATGAGAACATCCTGATACTATGGATAATTAAACCCAACATAAGCAAACACAGGCAGTCCCCCGAGTCCCCAGTCCTGACTGATACCCACCCAGACAATGCCAGCTACAAGGAGGCGGGGAGCCCACCTAAGCAGCCTTGGAAATAAGCTAAGCTCTAAAAGCCTGTGCTCCAGGAAGATGTGAGAGGTCCCATCCACTGACGTTTAAAAACCCAATTCCGATAGGGGATAGACAATTAGGGTAATGCCAATCCCTATACCTCCAAAACCCAGAGAGCGAATCTTCCTTAATAATGCGCTTTAGCATTTAAAATCCTCCCATAAAAGACCAACCCTCTTAAGTGAGATTTCAAGACAGGCATCCACCCACTTCTTCTGGGACTTAATTCCCACACAGGAGCAAACAGCTGTCCTGGATTCCTGGTTGGCATCCAGGCTGAGCTGGCACTGCAGGCGTTTACACAGAGCTGCTAGCACTAGGATCTGCCGTGCCCCTCTCCAGCCTGCAAACATACACCCGACGCTCTGCCTACCAGGGTGGGGGGATTGCTAAGTGTGGGCAGGTGAGCTGGAGAAAGGAGAGGGGGTAACAGGTTTTCTCTGCCAGCTCGGACTGAACCTGCCCTGCCCTGCCCTTCCCTCCCCATAGCTCTTCCCCTCTCCCCCGACTTCTGTCAGATGGTGCTAGCTACTGAACCAGACCAGCGGGAGGAGGAGGAAGCAGCACATCCCTGCACTTACTGATGGGGAGGACGACGATGGGGATGTTCTTGGGACGCTTGCTCTCCTTGTCGATGAATTCCCCGGTGACTGTTTTCTCTCTCTCTGTCACACGACAGTTGTATTTCCCACTGTCCTCCTGGCGGAGGTGGTAAATCTTCAGCACGAAGACACTGTCGCTCTCCTTGGCCACTTTGAGCTGGCCCCTGGCCTCCCGATGGGTGAACTCACTGTTGAGGACCGGCACAGCATTCGGCCCCATGCTGGCAATGAGCGAGCTGTTGAAGGCCCAGGAGACGGCAAAGTAACGGTCGGGAGTGTTCTGCCCCTCCAGGATGCACCTGAACTCCGCCGGTTCACCTACCGTATACAGCCGCTTGTCGGTCTCCAGCCGAACGGTGAACTCTTTGTCTGAGAAAACAAATAACAGAACGGATGCATTCTGGGTGACCGAGGGCCCCAGCTCTCCAAACTGCATCAGCAAATTCCCACCACCCACACCTTCTCACCAAGATGACTACTGGGAAGACACCTCCACACTTGTCTTGAGAGAAAAACTCTCGAATATCACAGAGAGAGCTCAAAGGTAGCCAGACCCAGAGAGTCTAAAGGGCTTGTTATCCCAGTCAAGTCAACAGGGCTCTGTCTGCAGCGTATAATGCCCTAGGTTAGACTCTGAGATCAGCAAGCAATATCACTCCTAATTTCACTTGCACAGCAGATTACAAAGGTCCATCCTTGATCTATATGCCCAGAACTCCATTAAAGCATCAGAATTACAAATATTTTCAGTAAATATTATAGACATGACCCTGCTGAGACTTGTGAGACAAATTACCCAGTGCCCCAGGTGCTGACCCCAATCCAAATAAACATTCTATCTATCTATCCATCTCTCTCTCTCTCTCTCTCTCTCTCTCTATCTATCTATCTATCTATCTGGAGAGAGAGAGAGAAAGATATCCTCCACCCCCAAGTGAATACTGGAAATAAGACACAGGTAAGACAATCCCTAACAAAACTGCATAGGAAAAGTGAAAACTAATGTCTTTTCACTAATCTATCACCTGTCAGATCAAATCTCTAGAAAGATGGAGTGGAAAAGTACCTACTTCCAAGGACAGCCAGATGACCTCTGAAATGGTCAATGAACCCAAGCACCCTTCAAAGAGCTGGGAGTTAAACCAGACATGGGGGCGGGGGGGGGGGGGGGGGGGCTGTTAAGTGATCAATGCTAGGTTCCCATCCCCACACCAGTCGAGTCAGTCGGTGGATGGAACCTGGAAATCTTTATATTTTAAAACTATGGGTCTCAAAGTGTAGCTGGTGGTGATCAAGGGCTCATCGCCACTAACTGTCCCACACACCATGTAACGGTGTATGGTGACTGTCAATGCCGTGAGACAATGATCGTATCTCACAGGCACCCGTGGCAGAAGACAAAGGAGTGAAGGGTCCTGGAAAACAGAGTCACAGAGCCTTGGGTGGGAGAGGCTGCAGTTGTAAGTACTGCCCAAGTCCTTCCCCTCCCAGTTCTAGCTCTATTCCTCTGAAGAAAACATTGACTGGAGAATCGCATTTACAGGGATGTTTGAATTCCTTGTATATCCATTAGCTCCAATCTCGACTGCCTTCCCCACACTGGCATTTCCATGCTGTTACCACTATCTTGAAGTGGTATCTTATCTTTAAGGCCCCTGCCCCATTCTTATCCCCCTATCCCATGCACTCTTCAAGCAGATGAGAATCCTATTTCCCTAAAAAACACAGCAATCCCAAGAGTGCTGCTCCCACATTCCTATTCCCCGTGGCTTGGTGAAGCTTTCACATTCCCAGGTTGAAGATGAGATTCAGGGCAAACCATCCTCTTTTCTGCACAGCCGTTTGCCCTTGTTATACCCAGTCAATTAAACCTCCATAAATCGATTTACGCTTTTTCCAATACCCCCTCACTCCTCGGCTCACTGAAATTTGGCTTTGGGCCTTCTCCCACACTTCCCTGACCCAGCAAATGTCCCCAATGACACCCCCTGCCCATCACAACCAAAGGCGTTTCTCAAGTATGTTATAGCCTCTGGACCAGCTCTCTTCCCTTGGGTCCATGACACCATCCCTCCTGCTGCTTCTCCCGCTGGCCTGACCACTCTGTCTCTCGAACCTGCTCCCCTGACCACCTCTTACTGCCACAGTTATCCTGGGCCCTCATCGCTCCCAAGCTCAGCCTCTGAGTGCCACGTCTGATCACGTGCTGGGTGCTTCACATGCTGAGCATCTCTATGAAGGTCCGCTTGCGGGATGGATTCCTTGATCAAAATTTCCAAGAACAAATGCAAAGACACCCAGTGCTGCCACTGAAGGGGAAGCAGAGGCTCTCAAGCAAGACTTGGCACATTGCCTCATCCCTCCTTATCACAATTCCACAATTCCTGAGCCCCAGCCTCGGATTCCTCCTTCCACAATACTCTCCATTCTGTTGCCTCGAGCACCCACTGCCCGCTTCCTAGGTCACTGCCACTGAGCTAGCCCTGGCCTTAACAGCCCTTCCCTACCTGGTCTCCCAACTTCAGACCCAACCTGTTTAGTCAACACTAGGTGGCCTCCATGGTTGTTCCCTTCTAAAACCCAGGCCTGATTGTGTCACTCTCTGCTTAAAAATCTCTATTCCCTCCTCCAAATGTTGGCAGCAGTGGTTTTCAAGCTATGCTCAGGCGGGGCGGTAGCGGAGAGACCTTCCTTTCCTCATACAAAGTCTTTTGCTGCCCAATACAGAAAACATTTGGTTCAGGCAAAGGGGGAACACCGCGACCCCCATACGCCCTCCTCAAGCACCCCATGGCATGCACCCGTGCACATGAACACACACACACATGCCCACCCACAAGCGACCGCTCAGGCACCTCTACAGGACTCCTAAGATTCTAAGGAGAACAACTTGAAATGCTCGGACCACAGGGTCAAGGCCAAGCTCACATTCTAGCATGTGGGCTTCAGGCCACCTTTCCTATCTCCTCTCACCACTCCTATCCGGAACTCAACACCTGCTCACCCTTGACTTCTCTGTGCTTGCCAAGCTGGTCAAACAATTCTGTACCTTTATGCGTCTCCTCCTGATGTCTGCTCAAGCTTCAAGGCTCAGCTCAAGTAACCAAATGCGTTGGTTTTCCTGAATTTTCCTCAACCACCCCACCCAGGGAAAACATGGTTGCAAGAACACTTTACATTCACCATGCTCCCAGGGCACCCTTCACTCAGCCACTGGCTTTCACATCTGTAGTTAGTTCCCTGAGTGCAGGGACCAAGCGTTATTCATCTCTGAATCCCCCATGCCTATCGCCACACCTGCAGCGTTGCAGAGACTTACTAAGTGTTGACTGACATCAACTAAGAGAAGGGCAGCACTGGGGCTACAACCACTGAACCAGAACAGCACAGACACAGAGTGAAGTCATCAACTATTTTTTCACCTAGTTTTCCCTTTGCTGGCTTCGTCTGGATACATTTGCTGGGCAAATTCAAAAAAATCCTCATTCCAAATTGGTAAGATTAAAATAAAGAAGATTAACTGATGCAACCTAATTTGAAAGCGCTAAGACTTAAAATCTGGCCCAGACTTTTGAAGCTGCTCTTAACACCATCCAGGAAGGGAAGGGATAAATATGAAATAAAGTGCCTTCTGTAGGTTTAGTACCGGAAGTTCCAGAAGCTGCTAAATGCTCTGGGTCCTACAGAGCAGATAAAGTGCTCCCAGCGCAGAAGCCCAACCCTTCTCGTAAAAGCCCTCACACCCATTAGATATCCAGAGAGTCGCTTCTGCCCTTTTACTTCTAGCTCTGCACCTGACAAAGCATAGACAGTGGAAGTGTACTGAAAATCCAGCTTCCCAGGCCCCACCCCAGAAGCCTGATTCAGGAATCTGTACTGCCTGAGCCTGGGAATCTGTGCTATTAGGTAAAGTCTGAAGCACACCCTTAGGATGGCAGAAGAACAGGTGGCAGGAAAGCTATGCAAAGACCAAGACCACCGCCATCTGACTTGAGCAAATGGGATGGGGTGGGGGTGGCAGGGTGTCAAACTACAGGTCCTGAAGGGGGCCCCCGACCTGTGCCTCAGATGCCCCAGCTCACCTCCCACAAACCACAACTCCGCTCACCGGGACAATGGCAGCCCCTCACTGAAGGTGAGCAGTAACATAAGGAAAGGCCCTTGGGCACTTGCTGCAGCTCCATGACGGCACGCCACCACCTTCCAACCAAACCAGGGAACAGAAGGCCCACGGAACACCTGCCTCCAGCCCAGCTGAGGCAGTCAAGCAATGGCTTTTAGCTCTGGTCGAGGGCCCAGCTGGACTCAGGGGCCGGGGGAGTGCAGCCTGAGAAGGTCAGGGCTTGGGATACCTGGGCCCTATGTACCCCGGGTACTTGCAGAATCGCCAGAAGAGTCTGCACAGCCTGTCTGACCACCCTCCCTGCCAGACAGAGAGTGGGGACGAGAGACTGACCGGTGGGCTGGACGTTGACCACAGTCCCCTCGGAACGCTTTCGGGTCATCGGGTACCATGAGCCGTCTGGGTCCTGGATCCACTCGGTGGCCTCGCAGTAGAACTCGCCCTGGTCGGAGGGCTGCAAGTGGAAGACGGTGAGGCGGAAGGTGCTGCTCCCCAGCTTGTCCAGGCGCACCTCCCCCAGGCTCTGCCTCTGCGCGTAGTCGCTGCTCGACTGCAGCACAAAATCCCGGCTCAGGGCAATGACCTCCACCGGCTTCTCGCCGCCCCGCTGCCGTAGCCAGGCCACGGACAGGTGGCTGTGCTGCAACGTCTCCGTGGCCACCTCACACGTGAGCTCTAGGGGGTCCTGCTCCACTCTGTGCAGAGTGTGGCGCACAGCAGTGGACTGCAGGGAGTCCGGGATCACTGCAACACAGGAACAGCCATGGGACACAGTCACAAAGCCACAGATCTTACACTTGTGGGGCTGAGCTCCCACCCACCAGCCTTCGACAGTCCCTGTTGTGGCCATGGAGGACCCCAGATGGCACAGAAACCGAACGACTTTTCTGTTTGGATTTGGACTACAATTTTTTGGCGCTTACACTTACCTGGTTGATATTTCAAAAACACTCAGATAAAAAGTGACTTTTGGGGGCAGAGGGATAAATTCAGAATTCGAGATTAACAGATATACACTACTATATATAAAAGGACTTACTATATAGCACAGAGAACTATATTCAATATCTTGTAATAACCTATAATGGGAAGCCATCTGAAAAAGAATATCTGTGTGTAGAACTGAATCACTCTGCTGTACACCTGAAACATTCTAAAGCAACTATACTTCAATAAAAAAATACGTAAGTAAAATAATGTTTGTAGACTTAAAAGAAAGTGGGTCATATTTCAGTTTACATAATAAATGAACTCCCTGAAAATAACATGTAAAAGGAATTCTGTGTCAGGTCAAATAAGATTTTGTTGTCCACGGTGGTATTGCTTCCAGACATTGTAACTTGGCTTCTCACTGAACTTCAAACAAAAAGAGTTCCTGGAACTACGAGTTTCCCATTTTCTATACAACTTGCTCATTTTCTCCCTTCTAGCCACCCTACCCCCATGTCAGCAGTGCAGTGCACTAGGAAGGTTATTTCTTCTTCTTCTTTTTTTCTTTCTTTTTTTTTTTTTTTTAAAAAAAAGGACTTCCCTGGTGGTGCAGTGGTTAAGAATCCACCTGCCAATGCAGGAGACACGGGTTCGAGCCCTGGTCCAGGAAGACCCCACATGCCACAGAGCAACTAACCCCACGCAGCACAACTACTGAGCCTGTGCTCTAGAGCCCACGAGCCACAACTACTGAGCCCGCAAGCCACAACTACTGAAGCCCATGCGCCTAGAGCCCGTGCTCTGCAACAACAGAAGCCACCACAATGAGAAGCCCGTGCACCACAACAAAGAGTAGCCCCCGCTCGACACAACTAGAGAAAGCCCGTGCGCAGCAACGAAGACCCAAAGCAGCCATACATAAATAAATAAGTAAAGGTTGTGGTAGAGAGAAGCAGCAGCAGCCTCGATTTTTTAGTAGGTTTAATTTTCATATTATTCATGTGTCAACATGTGTCATGTTCGTGGGCTGGAAGGAAGCCATGGTATGGGGATGAGTCAGGCAAGCAATGAGATTTCCTCTGTGGTCACCTGGTCAGCAGTTTCCTGCGGAGACTAAACATGACACTCTCTCTGATGTGAAGGGTCGAAATCTTAATTTCTAGTTTTCACTATCACAATTAAGCCTGGAAATTATGAGGTGGACAGAAAAACAGAACAGCCTTGATATTTCTGACCCTTCACAATGGCAAACACTGTGGCGCAGAGCAGTCCACAATGAAATCCCTCTCCTTTCTCCTCCAGCTCCCTCCATCATCCAGGGGCCAAGGGAGACAGCTGGTGCAAAATTCCTCACTCTGTGGAGCCAAAAGACACACAGACCCACTTCAGGTCTGAGCACGGTCCTGCAGCTGCATTAGCTTCCTGACTCAGCAGCGCCCCAGGCAGCTCAGAGCCACGTTCCAAAGGCCCATCATTGAGAACACCACCCAGCTCTACCCACCACCAGTGCTTCCCATCAGGAGGCTTGCACAAACCTCTTAGATGGCCTCATCCACCAGAGGGCAGACAGCAGAAGCAAGAAGAACTACAATTTTGCAGCCTGTGAAACGAAAACCACATTCACAGAAAGACAGACAAAATGAAAAGGCAGAGCACTTTGTACCAGATGAAGGAACAAGATAAAACCGCAGAAAAACAACTAAATGAAGCGGTGATAGGCAACCTTCCAGGAAAAAAATTCAGAATAATGATAGTGAAGATGATCCAGGACCTTGGAAAAAGAATGGAGGCAAAGATCGAGAAGATGCAAGAAATGTTTAACGAAGACCTAGAAGAATTAAAAACCAAACAAACACAGATGAACAATACAATAACTGAAATGAAAAATACACTAGAAGGAATCAATAGCAGCATAACTGAGGCAGAAGAACGGATAAGTGACCTGGAAGACAGAATGGTGGAATTCACTGCTGTGGAACAGAATAAAGAAAAAAGAATGAAAAGAAACGAAGACAGGCTAAGAGACCTCTGGGACAACATTAAATGTAACAACATTCACATTACAGGGGTCCCAGAAGGATAAGAGAGAGAGAAGGGAACCGGAGAAAATATTTGAAGAGATTATAGTAGAAAACTTCTCTAACATGGGAAAGGAAATAGCCACCCAAGTCCAGGAAGCGCAGAGAGTCCCAGGCAGGGTAAACCCCAGGAGAAACACGCCAAGACACATAGTAATCAAATTGGCAAAAATTAAAGACAAAGAAAAATTATTGAAAGTAACAAGGGAAAAGCAACAAATAACATACAAGGGAACTCCCATAAGGTTAACAGCTGATTTCTCAGCAGTAACTCTACAAGCTAGAAGGGAGTGGCATGATATATTTAAAGTGATGAAAGGGAAGAACCTACAACCAAGATTACTCTACCTGGCAAGGATCTCATTCAGATTTGATGAAGAAATCAAAAGCTTTACAGACAAAAAAAAGCTAAGAGAATTCAGCACCACCAAACCAGCTCTACAACAAATGCTACAGGAACTTCTATAAGTGGGAAACACAAGAGAAGAAAAGGACCTACAAAAACAAACCCAAAACAATTAAGGAAATGGTCATAGAAACATACATATCGATAATTACCTTAAACGTGAATGGATTAAACGCTCTAACCAAAGGACACAGGCTTGCCGAATGGATACAAAAAAAGACCCATATATATGCTGTCTACACGAGACCCACTTCAGACCTAGGGACACATGCAGACTGAAAGTGAGGGGATGGAAAAAGATATTCCATGCAAATGGAAATCAAAAGAAAGCCGGAGTCGCAATACTCATATCAGATAAAATAGACTTTAAAATTAAGAATGTTACAAGAGACAAGGAAGGACACTACATAATGATCAAGGGATCAATCCAAGAAGAAGATATAACAATTGTAAATATATATGCACCCCACATAGGAGCACCTCAATACATAAGGCAACTGCTAACAGCTATAAAAGAGGAAATCGACAGTAACACTATAATAGTGGGGGACTTTAACACCTCACTTACACCAAAGGACAGATCATCCAAACAGAAAATTAATAAGAAAAAACAAGCTGTAAATGACACAACAGACCAGATAGATTTAATTGATATTTAAAGAACAATTCCATCCAAAACAGCAGATTACACTTTCTTCTCAAATGCACATGGAACATTCTCCAGGACAGATCACATCTTGGGTCACAAATCAAGCCTCGGTAAATTTAAGAAAATTGGAATCATATCAAGCATCTTTTCTGACCACAATGCCATGAGATTAGAAATCAATTACAGGGAAAAAAACGTAAAAAACACAAGTACATGGAGACTAAACAATATGTTACTAAATAACCAAGAGATCACTGAAGAAATCAAAGAGGAAATAAAAAAATACATAGAGACAAATTACAATGAAAACACGACAATCCAAAACCTATGGGATGCAGCAAAAGCAGTACTAAGAGGGAAGTTTATAGCAATACCAAGCCTACCTCAAGAAACAAGAAAACTCTCAAATAAACAATCTAACCTTACACCTAAAGGAACTAGAGAAAGAAAAACAAACAAAACCCAAAGTTAGCAGAAGGAAAGAAATCATAAAGATCAGAGCAGAAATAAATGAAATAGAAACAAAGAAAGCAATAGCAAAGATCAATAAAACTAAAAGCTGGTTCTTTGAGAAGAGAAACTAAATTGGTAAACCTTTAGCCAGACTCATCAAGAAAAAGAGGGAGAGGACTCAAATCAATAAAATTAGAAATGAAAAAGGAGAAGTTACAACAGACACTGCAGAAATACAAAGCATACTAAGAGACTACTACAAGCAACTCTATGCCAATAAAATGGACAACCTGGAAGAAATGGACAAATTCTTAGAAAGGTACAATCTTCCAAGACAGAATCAGGAAGAAATCGAAAATATGAACAGACCAATCACAAGTAATGAAATTGAAACTGTGATTAAAAATCTTCCAACAAGAAAAAGTCCAGGGCCAGATGGCTTCACAGGTGAACTTTATCAAACATTAAGAGAAGAGCTAACACCCATCCCTCTCAACCTCTTCCAAAACACTGCAGAGGAAGCAACACTCCCAAACTCATTCTACGAGGCCACCATCACCCCAATACCAAAACCAAACAAAGAGATTACAAAAAAAGAAGATTACAGACCAGTATCACTGATGAATACAGACGCAAAAATCCTCAATAAAATACTAGCAAACAGACTCCAACAACACATTAAAAGGATCATACACCATGATCAAGTGGGATTTATCCCAGGGATGCAAGGATTCTTCAATATATGCAAATCAATCAATGTGATATACCATATTAACAAATTGAAGAATAAAAGCCATATGATCACCTCAATAGATGCAGGAAAACCTTCTGACAAAATTCAACACCCATTCATGATAAAAACTCGCCAGAAAGTGGGCATAGAGGGAACCTACCTCAACATAATAAAGGCCATGTATGACAAAACCACAGCAAACATCATTCTCAATGGTGAAAAACTGAAAGCATTTCCTCTAAGATCAGGAACAAGACAAGGATGTCTACTCTCGCCACTATTATTCAACATAGTTTTGGAAGTCCTAGCCACAGCAATTAGAGAAGAAAAAGAAATACAAACTGGAAAAGAAGAAGTAAAACTGTCACTGTTTGCAGATGACATGATACTATACATAGAGAATCCTAAAGACGCCACCAGAAAACTACTCGAGCTCATCAATGAATCTGGTAAAGTTGCAGGATACAAAATTAATGTACAGAAGTCTCTTGCATTCCTATACACTAACAATGAAAGATCAGAAAGAGAAATTAAGGAAACAATCCCATTCACCATTGCAACAAAAAGAATAAAATACCTAGGAATAAACCTACCTAAGGAGGTAAAAGACCTGTACTCAGAAAACTAAGACACTGATGAAAGAAAACAAAGATGACACAAACAGATGGAGAAATATACCATGTTCGTGGATCGGAA